AAATCAACATTCAAGTAAATATTGGGGGGGGGGGATATTCCTAGTGCACAGTTTGTCCTTTTTTTCGAGAGGTGATCCGCAGTTGTCCTCTATTCTTCATAGTTAACACCTTCCAATCAGGATCCTTGTAATGTGCTGGGACCTGAATCAAGGGCAGGCGGAGGAATCTGTGTTGACGCATTTAAAGGTGAACTCCGGTAACTGGTATTTGGATCTGAACTCGACCCCTTTATAGCATTCACACCGCAGTGCAGAGAAGCAACCAGCCTGTGCGGATTTATCGCTCAAGTGTATACATGCACTATAATGCCAAAAGTATTGGGACGCCTTTACACGCGCATGAACTCTAATGGCGTCCCAGTAGGGTTTAGTTATGGGTTGGCTCCGCCCTTTAATGGCATCCCAGTCTTAGTCCGTAGGGTTCAGTTTTGGGTTGGCTCCGCCCTTTAATGTCATCCCAGTCTTAGTCCATAGGGTTCAGTATTGGGTTGGCTCCGCCCTTTGCCGCTATAACAGCTCCGCCTCTTCTGGGAAGGCGTCCACAAGGTTTAGGAGTGTGTCTATGGGAATGTTGGACCATTTGTGAGGTCAGGTACTGATGTTGGGGGAGGGGCTCGCAGTCTCCCCTCTAATTCATCACAAAGGTGTTCTATGGGGTTGAGGTCAGGACTCTATGCAGGCCCAGGGCCGGCGCTACCATACAGGCAGCACAAGCGGCCACTTGAGGGCGCTGGTGGGGAGGGCGGAAAAACAACTCCTCACTTATGAACGGATGTGATGGGCGGCCTTTTATGAACGGATGTGATGGGCGGCCTTTTAGCCACTGATCACATCCATTCATAGTTACAGGCAATCCTGGGCTGGCTGTGTGTTTGTGGTTTCCGAAGTGGCCGTAAGCTTACAGCTTGAGAAATGTATCCGGTTGATCCTCATTGCAGTGCTCTATTATTTCCATTGTTTTGGTGCCATTTCTGTGTCTGTTGCCCGGCCTCACGTCAGTGGGTCATATAAATAGCTGGGATGGTCTAATGGTCCTTTCATCAATTTTTCCAGGTTGCCCCTGAAGAACGGACAGTAATCCGACAACCGGTGATCGCTCGTTCACCAACACAAGAGAAGAAGACCGAGAAGTCATCTTCAGTGCCTTCACAGCCCAAACTGTGCGAGTCTCCAGTACAGGATCCCCCGGAGGGGCCCCCAAGTCCCATCAGTGAAGCTTCCAGTGGGTACTTTTCCCACAGCGTCTCCACCGCCACTCTTTCAGAGGCGTTGAATACAGGAAGTGAGGCGCCTACAGGTCAGACACTAAGCCCAACAGCTACTGACGTTAGTCCACCCAGTGTACCTTCTGCTCAAAAGCCCTCTGTGAAAGAAACCACGAGCAAAATCGATGCCGTCCCAGGCGCGGCTCATCACAAAGCTGATGTTGGGCCTCAAGAAGATATCCCGGCTGGCCATACAAATGTTAATGACTCGGCAGGTTCTGTCCTTGAGGATCGCAGCAAGCCAAGTTTGGCGGATCACGTTCGGAAACACGAGGAGCTTCTTCTGACGAGTTTGGAAGCCCATCACACTACAGTCATCTCGACACCGGAAAAGATCACCGCGAGCACCTTATCTTCAGAGATCCGGGGGGACGCACAACCGGCGCCCGTGGCCGAGCACCATCACCAAACCAAAGGCATCGCGTCTCCGTTCAGGATACAGAAAGTAAGGCCGTCGGAGCTGAAATCTTTCATGCAGATGATCGGGGACGACCTCGGGGATGCGCCTGGCTCAGAAAAGCCGGCGAGCGCCGTCAAGTTAAAAGGAAGCAAGGAAGCGTTGGATGACCAGGTAGAGAGCGGAGAAGACAAAACGGAAGTGACGTCCGATTCCGAGGAGTGCCAGGAGGTCCCCGAATGGTTGAAAGAGGGCGAATATGTGACTCTTGGGACAAATAAGACCGGCATAGTCAGATACGTTGGCTCTGTGGATTTTCAAGCGGGGACCTGGGTTGGCGTGGAGCTGGATTTGCCGGCAGGTGAGGCACTTAAATGTTGAAAGTTTCGGCAATTGCCTATAATGCCAAATGACCAGACTCATTATGTGCCTGCGTTCCAGGTGTGGGAGATCACACTGCGGGCGAGGGGGGTGTTGCTGGGGGGAGTGGCTGCCGTGCAATTGACTTCAATGCACCGCCACGCTCCCTCCCACCCCTGAACGCAGGGAGTCGGCCGGCGTGCGTTCTAGAGGCCGAACACTCTGGAACGCAGACTTTGTGGTGTGAAATGGCCCTCTCTCTTGGTTGTCTCTTCTCTCTCTGCTGTCTTCTCTCTCTGCTGTCTTCTCTCTCTGCTGTCTTCTCTCTCTGCTGTCTTCTCTCTCTCTGCTGTCTCTCTCTGCTGTCTTCTCTCTCTCTCTCTCTGCTGTCTTCTCTCTCTCTCTCTCTCTGCTGTCTTCTCTCTCTCTCTGCTGTCTTTCTTCTCTGCTGTCTTCTCTCTCTCTCTGCTGTCTCTCCCTCTCTCTGCTTTCTTCTCTCTCTCTCTCTGCTGTCTCTCTTCTCTCTCTCTCTGCTGTCTTTCTTCTCTCTCTCTTCTCTCTCTCTCTCTCTGCTGTCTCTCCCTCTCTGCTGTCTCTCTCTCTCTTCTCTCTCTCTCTCTGTTCTCTCTCTCTCTCTCTCTGCTGTCTCTCTCTCTCTTCTCTCTCTCTCTGCTCTCTCTCTCTGCTGTGTCTCTCTCTCTGCTGTGTCTCTCTCTCTGCTGTGTCTCTCTCTCTGCTGTCTCTCTCTCTCTGCTGTCTCTCTCTCTCTGCTGTCTCTCTCTCTCTGCTGTCTCTCTCTCTCTGCTGTCTCTCTCTCT